AACATGGGGAAACCCCATCTCTACTAAAAAATACAAAATTAGCTGGGCGTTGTGGTGGACGCCTGTAATCCCAGCTACTCGTGAGGCTGAGGCAGGAGAATCACTGGAACCCGGGAGGAGGAGATTGTGGTGAGCCCAGATCGTGCCATTGCACCCCAGCTTGGGCAACAAGATCAGAACTCTGTCTCAAGGAAAAAAAAAAAAAAAAGCCGGGCATGGTGGCTCATGCGTGTAATCCCAGCACTTCGGGAGGCGGAGGCAGGCAGATCAAATGAGGTCAGGAGTTTGAGACCAGCTTGACCAACACGGTGAAACCTTGTCTCTACTAAAGGCGTGGTGGCAGGCGCCTGTAGTCCCAGCTACTCGGGAGGCTGAGGCAGGAGAATGGCATGAACCTGGGAGGGGAGGCTTGCAGTGAGCCGAGATTGGGCCATGACACTCTAGTCTGGGCGACAGAATGAGACTCTGTCTCAAAAAAAAAAAAAAAAAAAAAATCAAGGGCACCCAAAGTGGAAAGGACTCTAATTGTCCGTTTTCAGACAATTTGCTCTTAAAAAAAAAAAAAAAAGACTCCAGAGAGCTAGCTAGCCGCTTCCACCACATGAGGATGCAGCAAAAAAGCGCTATCTATGAAGCAGAGAACAAGCCCTCACCAGACACTGAATCTGCTGACATTGTAATGTTGGACATCTCAGCCTGTAACTGTAAGAAGTATATATAAACTACCCAATTTAATATATTTTGTTATAGTAGCCTGAATGGACTAAGACACATTTACAAACAATTTGTAATCTCTAGCCTCAGGGCAAAAAAATTTTTGAACAAGATGCAGTAGTGTTTTTTGGGCCCCATACAAGAGGGGACAAGCCATCCCCAGCAGAGAAAGTCTGAGTCTCCTGAGATGCCAAAGGTGAGAGGAATTACCAGCAGCAGGTTAGAGACAGCACTGAAGCCAGTTTGAATACCCCAACATGGGGAGCTCACTGAAAAGCTCCATGCGAAAGCAACTCAGCAACAATAGTTTATCCTGGAGGATAACTCAACTGACAAATTTTCTAGGTACACAAAACGTTCCCCTCAGTCTCCTCAGACAAAATCCAGAGGGATCAGAAACATATTGACAATATAGATATATGTGTTTTAACCTTTGTATTTTCTATTTTGGAGAAACAAATTTGTACTGAATTATAAACTATGCAAACAGTTAATAACAGGTTCAGTATTAAGTAATAATAGTTCATAAGAAAAGATTCTTCTCCACGAATTCATAACACAAACCAAGTAGATCCTACTTTAGGAAAGATTTATTTAAAAGAAGACACTAATAGCTCATCTCTCAGTCCAGTTATCTCTCAGGGAATGTATCCCGTTTTAGAATCCAAGACCTAACTTCCTAAAAAAAGTTAATGTGAATTCTTACATATTGCCAGGGCCACCCAGATTCATAAGGCAATCCTGAAGTAAAATAAGAAAACCGGGAAGTCTCTTATTCACTTACCTATAAAACCAAATCAAGGTCCACCTGGTTGTCCTTTGAATCGGTCTTTACCTAGAATTCATAGCACATCCAGCAATCCTGTAGAATCCTAGCCTGGAATGCCCCGGCTATCCATAACAGTGTACTGTCTCTTTAGACATTTATTCACTGGTTCCTATGGTGACTGCATAAACCAAAAATTATAAAAGAAGCACAGTTTGTGATACCTCTGCATTCCAGCTTTAAAAAGCTGGAGGAGGTGGATGGAGATGATGATAGGACAAGTAATCAAAGGGAAAAGTATTTCAAGTACTTGGCAATAAAACATTTATCTATTTTACTGTTTGTTTTTCTGTTTTCTTGGTAAGAGAAAATATTTGTTTTTCTCTTATACTTTTTTTCTATTTTCATACTAAAAATAAGTGCTATTCAAATTATTATTGCTTCATACATCCCTGTTTCATATGGAAGGACTGATTTAAATTATGACATTTAGGTTTATAACAAAGAATTAAATTTGGATGTTCCACAATTTAAATGATTCATCAGGTTAAAAGAATCAAATAATTGACTCTAAGGTAAACTGCTTTGAGTAAAGCTAAGAGTATCTTTTAAAAAATGAAGTCTACCAAGGAAAGGCACTATAGTGTTTTGACACCCAACAGCAGCTTTATAAATTACATCAGTGTCGTGATTTTGTTGTTGCAGTTTCTGTGGTTCTAGCAGTTCTTTAGAAAGTGATATGCATTGCTAATAGTCTTTTATATTTTTCATTGCTCTAAACTTTCCAAAATTGTTCACTCATTTTATCCATTATAACTACCTCGTGAAGGCAGTATAGCAGACATTTGATTTTGACAAATTACAAAAAAGTGGCAGGGGAAAAAAGGAGTTAAGTCATTTGTAGGAAAACATAATCATTTGAGTGTCCAGTTAGAATTGTAACCCAGATCTTTTCTTTAGAAGTTTTTGCAACTTTGATTAGTTTTCTCCTTTTTTTTTCATTTATAGAGTTCATTTTTCTCAGATTTTAACAGACTTTCTCTTCTATTTTCCCAAGATAAACTGTTTTTTTTTTCTTACTCAAAACTTCACTGTTCTGAAAAATAAAATATAGAATAATTTGGGGAGGAAGATTTGAACTGGAGAGCACTTTTGCTATTTTCACTAAATGAACAGGAAATTGTATTCTTGAATATTTTTCTCATTGTTTACCCAGTATTTTAAAAAAGAAAAAATTTGAGTTGCTTTTTACTAATCTAGAAGGGGGAAAGTATGGATATTTTATGTGGCATGATTTAAAAAAAAAAACCTGTCTTTGTTTCAGTCTGAGTATATTCATTACCCTTTTTTTTTTTTTTTAGAAACAGAGAAATTAAGGCAGATAAGAGTTAAGCCATTTTCCCCAGAGTCACTATTTGTCATTGTTCTTAGCCCTGACATATGGCATAGGGACTCAGTTACAGCATGCTATAAACAACATTGCTTTTATTCACATCCCACCACTTCTGCTTAGTGTACGGACACTTTGGAAAGATAGGCATGTAAAAATGCAGTCAATTTATAGACATGTAAATTTTTTTTTTAGTGTTCATATCTTAAGGTGTCTTAGAATACATTTAGTTAACTAACAGTATGAAATTTTACTTTGCTGTTAGACTGAATATTATAGTTTTGGACCATGTATCACTGGAAAGGTATTTGAAGTTAAAGCTTCAAAAAGTGTTTTTTTATTTTTCCTTATTATTTTGTGGCTATCCTTTTGCTATTAATGGTTTCAGGACACCTGTCCTCAGCACCAGCTGAGGTCTGAAGAAGGTTTTCAGGGCAAAGCCTATATTTACGTGGCTTGACTTAAGGAAGCCGAAAGTGGTAGACAATTTAAATTCCCCTAGTTTTAATGCATTCATGAACAAAACAGCAGTTCTTACTAGAATCTGTCCAAATAGCTTCTGGCATCAATCAGTAAGGATTCTGTATACCATAACAGCCATTAATTTTTCAGCCATGCTGTGTTTACCTGTCCCAGAATGAAAGAGGCAAGCTGAGGTAATGCCCCACCCACTAGAAAGAACAGTTTCCAAAAGTCTCCAGAGCCTCCCTAGTGGTTAGTTCTTTGTGATCCTATCCCTGCATCTAAGCCCCATCCACATCCATCATCTTCAGAATAGTGAAGGTAACCACTTTTCAGGTTGTCATTAGGCCAAGGAAACCCAAGATTGCAATGTTATTTGCATCACTTAGTTGCATGTTGACCTCATGGTTGGTTTTTCACTTTAGAGAATTTTGTGGTGATACCTTTCTCCTACTTCTAAAAGACCAGGGT